TCATTTTATATCCATAAACTGTTATCATGTCTCAAAGTTTACCTATGTCGAACTTTCATCTAATAAAATGCTTTATTCTCCATGTATCGCCCAGTTGAAGTTTTATTGTCAATTTAAATTAATTTAACCCTTCTAACAAAAAAGAAGTTGTCAATTAACTTACCATATATTCGAAAACAAAAACCAGTGAATTCTGTTCGTGTACAATATCATGTAATGTTACAATATTGGAATGTCGTAAAACACGCAGTAATGATGCTAAAAGGACAAATTTTATGTGTCTCTTCGATGACACGAAATCATCAAAAATTTCCACTTAATTAGCACTCATTGTGATAATACACTGATAGTGCATTAACACCTTCCTTCCATTCCTTTTATTTCTTTCAATTTCTAAAAATAAAGAGATTGCAAATGTGAAATTATTTCCACAAAAAAATTAATTGGGGATAATCAATTTAATTCTAAACAATCAAAAATTTTCATCAAATATTCAGAAAATGAAATAAAAAGTGATCGGAAGCATACGGCGAAAAAAATGAAATAGCACCGTCATTTCTTACGTTGCAATTGTCATCGCTATTTGATTAATTTTTAAATTACACACGTGGTGAAAATAAAATTTTCGATCAAATAATAAATAATGTTTTTCTGACCTTCTCGTATAGCAGTAAACGGTAATCCTTCTTGATTATGAATTTTAATTTCTTTTAGAGCAACAATACTGCCATCGCTTCTATAATTGCGCATGCTTTAGCTTGGAAAACAACTTTAATGAATTCAATTATTACATAATCTTTGGATATATATTTTAATACACTAGTGTAAATTTTAAATTTTAACTCGAATAATTGTTCAATTTCAATATTTCAAAATTTGTTTTTTTTTTATTACTTAGCATCAAAAATAATCGATCATATACCTACCTGTTTTCGCATTTGTAAACGACAGCATAGCTACCTTCACCTAATTTCTCAATTCGCCTATATAATTCGCTAATATCCTGTACTGGAACTTCCTGGAAATGCATCTTTCTAGAATACGTTAACAATGAGAAAAACTGCGTTGATGGAGAAAAATCTTGCTAAAAAGATTTTTTTATAGAATTAATAAAAGACTAAATTTTTTAAAATATTTCATTATCGATAACAATTAAATTGAACAATTATGTTTTTAGATTGAAATAAATAATTAAAATTACAAGGTCTCTTTCAGAAGGCCAAATCTTAGCACTCACACATTGTAAGTCTCCTTCAGGAGACCAAACTTTAGCATTCACACATTACAAGTCTCCTTTAGAAAGCTAGCTTTAGTTATGTAAAAGATGCGCTGAGTTCCCGGGCAGTTTTAGCAACATACTTGACTTGGCTATGAAAATTTATCTAAAACAAAAGTTATTGAAAATATACCCTAGGCGGAAAAACTAAAGTATTCGGATCTAAATGTGCTGATCGAGGCCTTCTGCGACGAATAACCGATGAGCTACGTTTTTCCTCCATTGAGCTTAATGTAGATCTAAAATACTTTTGGAAGTCGTAAAAAATTTTTCTGAAATCATAAGATTTTGGTAAAATTTTTTGAATATTTTCTTAAAATCATTACATCTTTAGCTGAGAAAAATATGTTACAATTAGTAGAAAAAAAGAGAAGTGGTGAAATTTCAGAGTTTAAAAATTTAACAGAAAAAAAAAAAACATACCGAGGATCGGAAGCTATTGATGAACAACAGGGATCCGGATAAGCAGATACAATGCAATTATTAGTGCCCGAACGAGATCGTGTCGTCCGAAATAGGTTGAATAAACTTCTAAAAAAAAAAAAAAATATAAAATAAACACATCTACAATAAACATTATCATTTGTCACAATCATAACTGTGGTCCTATTAAACGGACATACACGTAACATTGTCACCATCAACTCTTTTCATCCGATATCATCAACACCTAAATTTTTTAACGGTAATTATCATTATGTTGACTGTTTCATCACTAACACTATCGTCCTACAATGATTTTGACTGTTTTCTACTAGCGCCGCATGCGATCCGATCAAAATTTCGAAACGCTATCACTGTCAGAAATGACAATGTATTTTTCAATTGAATTGAAGCGAAAAATGAAGAAGACAATGATATTGGAAGAAAGAAATAGAGGGAAATTTGAATTGGAGAGGTGTAGAAATACCTATTGTTTGCCAAATTTATGAGATGTTTCAAGAAAGAATTTGAAATATCATCGAATCGAATGGGTAGAATGGCTCAAATTGATTTTTCAACATGTAAATTTTTTGCTATTACTCAATAGTTCTCAAAAGTTATAATTTTTATAAATCTTCAAATAATGAAAAAAAAAATATTAATGACGCAGTACGAAAATATCGGCTAAAACAATTAGTAAAATGAACAAAATAAGTCCACAAAAAATTTTTCATTTCATTATTAGTGTTAAAACAAAATTTTGATCAACTGTACTTTGATTTTTTATCTTTGAACAATAGTGAAAATTATTAATTGTATCTGATTATTTTGTAATCACGAAATTCATAAAGTAATTAATTAATTATAAATGATTACCTTGATGAACTTAAGTTAGACAATTGCCATGATTGTGCCATATCATCATTTTTCAAAGTGGATGAAATTGTTGGCAATGGAGAATTATTATCAATCTTTGATTGTATTTTATCAGGGTGCTTCTTGCAGGTGCCAAAAGTGTTACCACAAAATTTTCCCTTATCAGCATCATTAGCATTTGTCCGATCACTTTTTTTATTATATTTCTCACGTTTTCTTGATCTTCTATAAGAAATAAAAAATCCATTTAAAAAAGTTTTTATACAATGTGGAATAATTTTTCTTTGATCGACTTTTATCTATAGATTATTGACTTCTCAAATTTTCATTTTAGCACTGATGAAAGCACAAAATTTTGTAATTGCAAATATGTACAATTAAAAATTCAGCACACAAATATATGTATAGCTGTAACGAATTCTTAATTTCAATTCATTTAATTAATTCTAGGCATCTAAATTGCATTTAATATATTTGAAAATGTGAAAGTAATTACGATTATATATCAGGGAAAAGTGAATAGCTGCATTGATTTATATCATATAGCTCGTAAACATATTGGATATGTATTATAATTAACTGTTTACAAAAATAAACAAAACAGTGCTTCAGAAAATAGAGTGACATAAATATGTGAAACTGTATCGATTTTGATCATCTTAGAAAATTTGCGTTATACGGAAGAAGATGAAAAATAACCTCAGATTGAAAAATATTGTAGATTTTCGAGATGTAGGCGGCGTGTTATGTAACACAACACGATGCAAATTATCGGAACTTTTCGAGTTCCTTACAACCGATAAATGTCGCTGATTGAGGACCGATAATGAACAACTCTCTCGAAGTTGTGTTTTTCGAGTGTCATCATGATCACGGTCTATATGCGTCAGCCATAATCCTGAAATTTGATTATTTCAAGTAGTTATCTGATCGTTCGATTTAATCCTTTAACAGTTTATAATATTTTTATACGCTATTATAATCATTTAATAAATACTGTAATTTATTTAGCTTAATTAATTTGTGGATAATTCGATCTAATCTTTTCCCTTCCTTATGATTAATATTTCTCATTTATTTTTTCTCATTCATTCAACAAACATATTGAAAATTCCGAAAATTTTTACTGTAAACGATTAAAATGAATTTTAGATTTGCGGTTTTTGGTAATCTTTCAGGAGATTGAAGTAATCATTTATGACCGATCGAATTTTACTTCTGTTGAGAGCAAAAAAACATCCCTTCTTTTCTCATTCACGAGACAAATTAACAATAAAAATGATTTAAAAAAAATATCTTATTTGCAATTTAAATTTTTATTTATTCTTCTCCACCAAACTAAAATTGTATAAATATGAAAAAGAACAATCAGATGAAAGAAGTTTAATTTACATTCAAATTTACATATACATATAAAAAAGTGGGAATCTATCAAATATAATTTCAATAAAATTCATCCAACCTTTCACATCATTCTAAATTAATAGTTTTTAGAGAAATGTTACATTAATGAATTCATTTATTGCCTAATAATAATTAGACCGTCAACTAGATTGGTCCAAATTGATTGTCCATTTTCATTCGCTTAATTTCCTGGAATTTTTTATTTGAAAAAATTTCATTTTCTTTATTTTATATGCAACTACTATTATTTTATATTTGTTATAAACATTTTAATAAATTGAATAAAAATAAATAATTGCCAAACGAAATACTCCTATTATTAGAATATGCTAAAAAAAAAAAACAAAAACAAACCAATATGAGAGGTTAATTTACTCCACATAATGCTTTTTGTTTACAAAAGAAAGTTGAAGAGAATGATGGAGCGATGATCTGTTTTAAAATATGAATGACAGAAAGGCATAGCTGACCATATAATTTGTCATTCAATGCCATTTCTTTTGATTAAAGAAGCATGAATTTGCATAAAATATACATCAACCTGAAACAGCACTATAATATGAATCGCAATGAAGAGATAAACAGAACTGAATTAACGTAAAGATGCAGAAGCAAACAAGTAAGCCATAAATTAAATAGAATAGCTTTGATATTTGAAGTTGGAAGCTAAGGCGATATATGACCATTGTATATGTTATATTAAGTTACTTGAAAACTAATGAAGTAAATTATTTTTCACTTAAAAACTATGATGCGTTCTTAAATTGTCACAAATTAAAACAACTTTCAAAAATTTATGGTCACGAATTATTTGTGGAAATATTTTCCTCAAATTCCCTCACAATTTAATTAAACTTTCACATTTGCGTTTATTTGAAGCACAAATGTGAAAGTTTAATTAATTTAAGGAATTTATCATCCAATAATAACAGTTGTGCAAAATGAAGAATCACTTCCGACAAACCATAATTAAAATGATCGTTTAAGTTATTACATTAATTCTTATGCTAACAATTAATTTTCATTATTTCTCCCGAATAAGATGATGCATATTAAGTGTAAAATGATGATTTATATAAATATTGCAAAAATTTAAAATAAAATACTGCAATGATTTTAATATTTCATTTTTTATAATCATTTATATGCATAATTTCATGCAAAAAAAATGTTTTTTTTTTCAGAAAAATTCCAAAATTTTCATCAAATTAGCTTATAAAAAGTAAATAGGAATTATGCACGAAATAATGTTCCTCACTAGTAGCTATCATATTTAAGATGAAATCAAAATTTTTCTCGCTAAATCAATAATGAAAGCTAATTTCGGAATTTTTTTTCTTTCTTGCATAATAAAGAAGCTCTTCCAGCAATATCCTCTTTTCATCAATTGTATACGGTAGTGTTTTTAAAGCTCGATAAATCTACATATCATTGCTTGCAACCATCATTTACCTTATCGCTTAATTATTGGGCGAATACCTTTAGTGCACTAATATTTACTCAACTCTCTCTTAGAGATATTCAATGTCAGGAAAGAAAATATCAGCTAGAAAGGTATGAACAGTGTACATATGAGAATATGCAAATGGAATAGTTAATAAACACATACACCATGCTTTTCTTCTCTCGCTATTAAGAATTATTTAACAAAAATTTCAATCAATATCGTAAATTTTTCGATAGAATTTTAACATCTTTTTAAGCTTTGAAAAATGAAATTTTGATAATATTGAAAATATGAAACAAACGTAAATTGCCTGCCTAATTATAATCACAAAAAAAATAACCTGAAAATAATTTTTTAGTCCTTGTCAGATATATAAATTTAAAACCATAAAGTAAGCAACCTAACAATACAGCATTATAAAAATTGATTGAAACCAAATGATAAACTAACGAAAACTGAACAAGTAGCCAAATTAGAACGAAAATGACATTAAAGGCTTGTTTTGGATAATTCATGCTTGCCTTTTGCATCCCATTTTCCCAACCACATCATCATTATCTTCCATTAAAACTATTAAAAAGCTCGAGACACTCCAATAATCCTGTGCGGATGCGGCATAATATATTCACCAGAGGAGCTATCATTAAAACAGAACGGAAGCACTCTTTTCAAACAACAAAAGAACTTAATAAAAAAAAGCAGAAAAAAAAGAAAAAGAAAAGAAAAAAACCACTACAACACTGCGCAAAAAAGCATTGACAAGTTACTGCAACAGTAAAAAAAAATTGAAAAACCAAAGAAATTTGTCGAAAATTAGAAATGATAAGAATTATGAATTCTTTAATTCTAACTAGCTTTAAGATAAAAACGAAAATTAATAAAAATAATAATTTTAAGCTGAAGATAAAAAAGGATGGGAAGTAGAGGAAAGAATAACTTGCAAGAAAATATTTATAAGAGTGAAATTATATTACAAGGAAACAAACTAGAAATATTGATAGCTTTTCTTAAGCCAATTGCAAAAGTGCAACAATGCGCCATTAAACATTCAAAAAAATAATGATGAAAATCTTCTAGATATACATATGCATGCAAGTATTGAACTTAAAAATTTATCATTACCTATTATTATTATCACATTATTATTATCACCATCATTATCATTATCATTATCATTATCATTATTATTATTATTGTTAATTATTACTATTATTATTGTTATTATTAATAATTATTGATTAAAATACTATAATTATATTCTTATTATTAAATAAAATGAAAAATCAAAGTATTTCTGACAATCTCTCTTTTTTCCCTTTACTAATCTTAGTAACAAGAACAAAAAAAGAACATAGCACGATAATTTGTTGGAAAAGCTGGCAAACCTAATAAGCCATTGCAATTTTCAACAAAAATTGTCACTTAGCAGAAAGGCAATACAAATTGATAAAAATGTAATTGTTGAAAAGTAATAAGCATTTTACTCAAATATATATAAAATCATTGCAAAAGAAAAAAAGGGAGAATAATATCTGATGACAATTCTAAAATAACTAACGTTTACATTGATGAAGATCAAAAAATATTAATTATCACTATCGCAAAGAGTAATTACAGGCGAGCATAAAATATCAACGGAAAAAAAAGATATATTGCTAAATAAAGTTATCGAAGAAGAAGCATTATAAACATTTACGACAAATCTTTAAAAAAAATCACCCATTTTTTTCCCCTCTCCTCTTTTTCGATTTTCCTTTATGCATTCTTCCTTTCTTCTTTCCAACTCACTTCTCAAACTTAGAATGAAAATGGATGTAAACGATGTAAACGAAGAAATCACGATCATCATCATTATCATCATCATCATCATCATTATCATCATCATCACCACAGTGTTCGCAATGATCCAAGCAGTTCATTCCTATTTTAGTAAACTATCATCATTATTGCCATTTTTCATGAACATTTAATATTCAGCACAACATGTGGCAGCAATAATATCAAAAGAGATGGAAGTCCTTGAAAAGAAGAATGAAATAAACCTATGAGTGATTTAATTCATCTGAAACATCTCTCTCTCTCTCTCCCTCTATTACCCTCTCTTCCTGTTTCTTAAAAGGCAGAATACGACATATTTTTTAGGTTAAGCAATTTTTCAATTTTAATTGACTAGAAACATGAATAAATACAGTTTGTGAAAAATTTTTGAATTTTTAAGCGTCATGCACACACACTCATATATATATATCCTTAATAAGCTTAACAACTAATATGAACGGATCAAGTCATATGATTTGATAATTACTATCGATTTCTAATGGCTTTGGCAGCTCCATTAGAGCAATGTTTAGAGATATGTTTCATCATCGATTATTGATTATATCGAACGAAATGATCGGATCATTTTTAGTGATTTAATAGTGAATATAAAAATTTTTTACATTATTTTTATTTCTTTCATTATTTTCGTACATATTTTTATTCTAATCTTTTCAACTAAAATAAAATATCTATAGTTTCTTTTTTCTCCTGCAAACATTTTAATGGATAGTTTTCTTTTTTTGATTTTGATTGAAAATTGATAAATTACTTAAGTTCACTTTCATATAATTAATTAATATCGTTTTATTATTGATTATATTTTTTTTTTTTTTAAAAAAAAGATTCTTTTTTTTGATCTTTCAAACCAATTTCATTCATTGGCAAAAATTTCACCGTATTTGAGCAATAAGTATTTTCCCACTATGTTAATTTTGTATTGTCAAGGTTGAATGCGCAACCGGATTCATAACATTTTAACTTCAGGTAATCTACCTGAAAGTATTCCGATTTGTAATGAGTTAGCAAAGTATGTTAACCTTTGTCATACATCTGAGTTATCCGTTGTTGATCAGTTCAGCCCTTTCCCTTTTTTCGTTTCTTTTTCTTTTTTCTTTTTTTTTCTTTTTTCACAATAAATGAATTTTGACAGCATCTTCCGAATATTTCTATTCCTCCTTAATGCGTCATAGTTCCGGAATAGAAAAAAGAAAAATATTGTCCTCTTCTCCCTCCTTCTCTCTCTCTCTCTCTCTCTCTCTCTCTCTACCGTGTTTCACTGTTCCACAATGTCGTAAGTGACATTTATCTTGAATAATACCCATTCCATCCTTCACTTCAGATTCTTATCAAATAAATTTTTCTGATTATTTTTTTAAATACAATTGATTATATTTTGCTCCTTCCTCTTCACTGCTTTTTGATATTACTGATAAAGTGTAAGGACGGTATATCTTGGCGCTAATATCATAGAATTTAAATTTATGGAAGAAATTAGCTTAAAATTATAAGATTGAAAAAATTTTCAAATTGTTCAATAGGCCTTTTTTCCACTAGGGTTCATTAAAGATTTCACTGTGATTTATGGATTGTGGATAAGGGAGGAAAAATTATAAGTGTTGAAGGAATATCTCATAAGGCTGGACTAATTCAGAAGCATCAAAAATAAACTAATCATTGCAGCAAATAGATTGCTCATTTTAAAATTTAAAAAAAAAGATGATGAAAAAGCGCAGAAAATACGGCAACCAATGGGAAAGAAATCAATTCAGAATTTTAATTAATAAAAAAAATAATGTCAAATGAAGAAGACTTTAATCATAAACTACCACATTTTTCAATTAAACTGGACTATATTGCCATCATAAAATAGGCCAATAAAGCTTACTAAAGAAAAGAAAAAGGATAAAATGGAGGAAAAAAAATGGGAATGGTTGAGGGATATTATGTGAGTTCAAAAATAAAATTCAATTAACTGCTTGCATAGCTTGAAATTCGATGATATTGATAATTTGGAAAAGAAAGACAAAATGATTGAAATGCTATTTTTATCACATTTCTGCTTATTTTGATATTACAGAAATCGTTAATTCAACAAATGTTTGAAGCAATGATAAATCTGACATGACTTTTTTGCAATATACCTATAAAATTCTTTATTACAATGGTCTATTTTTCAAGTTACCAAAATTTGTTTACTTATTAGTTTGAATTATTTTGCAGTCTTCATTTTCAATAAAAAAATTTAACACTTTTCTCAATTCTGCACATTTCTAAATCATTTTCCTCTATGATCATCAAAAAAGAAATTGTAAATTTTAATTTATCAGCCTTTTTTTGTTTCGAGATTGTATTTAGTTTTTTGTTAAATAAGGAAAAGAGTTAAAGGAAAATTTTGGAAAATTAAGAGATGAATGTAAAAATGTTTACTATGTTAGATTGAAGGTTAAAATTTTCAAGTGTACGATATTTTTTTCACTCTTAAGACGAATAAAGTACTACGAAGTAATTTAAGATTAAAACTTTCTTTTATAAGAATGTTTATTTTGCAGGATTGAAGTTTAAAAATTTTAAGTTTACAATATTTTTTTCATTCTTAAGACGGATAAAATATTGTGAAGTAGTGTAAAATTAAAACTCTCCTCTTCAAATTTTGCTACAGATTTACTAAAGAGGAAAGTTTGAAAGAAAATTGAATTATTTGCCAATTTGACCACTTGCATTTGTATTTTCAAAAGATCCTTAAAAAAAAAGGTGACATAAGTACTTCAAGATGAGTATCTTGGATAGAAAAGCACTACAAATGGGCAATAATTGAAAAAAAAGAAAAAAAAAAACGATCATTAACAAGAATATATGTCTACCGTATAAACGATGATAAATCATAATATGGAACCGTAATAATTCGAGAAATTATAACATGGAATCTAATAATTCGAAAAATCAAAATATGGAACCGTAATAGCCACATCATAATATAATAAAAGGTACCATTAGCTTAAAGCTAACCATTTATTGGTCAGTAAATGAACAGAGAAGGATATAAAGTTTACTGATCAAATGAGAGCCATTACAGGATTGTGTTCAGAAATCATACACAATGTAATATTTTCTCTAGAAATTATTTATCATATTATTATTGATGAGCTGTATAAATATAAAAAGTACTGATATAGTTATTTCTAATCTTTATCCTTTGCAAAACCTGAGAGAGACAGAAGAGAGAGAAAGAGAGAGAGGGAGAGAACAGGTGAAATAACTTCCTCAAAATTTCCCATCATCCTTAAGTTATAATAAAATCAGGAAAAATGATTTTACTTTCTTCATTATTTCCACTCTACATTAACCTCATATATTTTTAAAACCTATTCATAAATGCATTAAAAAGCATAATCGTTTGATATCGAATTCAAAAACTTTATCTTCAAGATTACTTGGTGGGGGCGGGGTTTAGAAAGGCAACGTATTCAAATCTGTCCGCAATGTAATAATATCGCGCAGCTATCTTCCAGTGGTATCATTCATTACAGGAATTAAGCTTGCTGTTTTCTTGCTAATCTTGCAAGAAAGCTAAGTTGCGATCGAGCAACTGCCAGTGATTTATGCATTGCTTTAAACAGCTGCTTGCATTTCCTTTCACTAGCATATACGAAAATCGCATCAAGGCTAATTTGCACATTTCTGCTAAATTATATTATTTCCTATCAATGCTTTTCAATACGGTTTGTATTGCAGCAGTTGGAGCAGTAGCAGTAGCAGTAGCAGTAGCAGTAGCAGTTGTAGTAGTAGTAGTAGTAGTAGTAGTAGTAGTAGTCATTTGTTGTCGCTGTCGGTTGTGGTAAGAGCAATGAAGTAGAAATTATTTCATTTTTGATTTCCTTTTCCATCCGTTTATTTACTACTTTCAATCATCTCTCATCCCTATTTAACTGCTATTTGAGACTTTATGGTCACCAAAGGGAATTATGGCTAAACCTCTTGGTAATTTTCGACTTTTAACGTCAGACTCCCTCTCTCTCCTTCCTCATCTCTCCCTCTCTCTCTCTCTCTCTTTCTCTCTCTTATCTCAAATCATTCTATTCATCCCTCCTTGACCATTCCTCATTTCTTCCTCTTTCCCTCTTCTTCCATTTATTCTTATTTTTCTTTCCATTCCAATATTCAAATGGTCATTTGGTATATTTGTCTCATTATTGCATTTCCTCAAATTTTACGCTCCTTTATACTTACTTAAAACATCAATTTTGGTGAACTACCATTGGAACAACATCATAGATTTAAAATTATTGAAATTTGAAAAGTTTTAAATCTCTGTAAAATTACTGCAACTGCAAGGACGCTAATGCATGCAAATTAAACAGTAATTCTATTTATTCTCTGAAAAGAAAAGAAAAGAAATTTAACAATAAAAGATAAACATTAAAAGATAAAAGTTATTTTAAAAATATATAAGCACTTCTTACTCAGAAATTGAAAATTTTAATAATCTGATAAAAAATCCTTAGTAAACAAACTTTTTTCGAACAACATCATCAGATTACTTCCGAACTTATCAATTTACTAATTTCTGAAATTCTTCTATCACTACTTATTGTTAACACTGAAATGATTGTATGGCTATTCCAAATTGCCTTTCGCAAGTTCATCATTAAATTATTTCATTTCTTCAATGCATAATTACTAACAATTATCTAGCATTCTCTTTCGAGAAAAAAAAGAAAAAATTTTCGTAAGCAACACCATTTTTTTGCATAAAATTAAAAATTAATTTTCGCAAACGGAGCAAAAAAAAACGGTGAGCGATGGAATAAAGTGCATATGAACAAATGTTGGAAAGATGCCTTCAGAAGATTTGTTTTTTTTATTCTAGTCGAGAATTTGGTAATAGACATTCAACCGAAACAACGCTACCATCCATCCATTCATTCGCTCCTTCTATCAATTTAAAAATTCCGTTCTATCTAATATGCATATTGGCCGATATATATTTTCAAAGCCATAACAAACACTCAAATATATTTCATTTT